CGGCCGAGACGTCGGCTGGGGTGATGGAGCGCGCCGTGGTCCGCTGTGTGCCCTCGGAGCCCAAGCTGAGCTTGTCGTTCGCGCTGGCCGACGGCAGCCATAAGAACATGCAGCGCGACCAGAGCGAGCCGCTGGGTCGTGCCCTCAGCCGGATCGCCACCAACGCCCTCAAGGGCCACGCGAAGGCGGCCGCCACCAAGAAGAGCAGGAAGAACCGTCCGAATGCGAGCAGCGGCGCGGCCGGTGCAGGGCCTGGGCCTGGGCCTGGGCCTGGGCCTGGGCCTGGGCCTGAGCCTGAGCCGGCCGCGGCCTGCGAGCCGGTGGTGAAGCTGTACTACCGCGAGGAGGCAGTGGCCGAGGACGTGCTCAACGTGGACGCCTGGCAGGACGGCGCGGTGCTGCAGATCGGCGATGTCAAGTACAAGGTGGAGCGCAACCCGCCCGCCTTTACCGAGCTGCAGTTGCCGCGCTACCTCATGGCGGGCTTCCCGGTGTGCCCCAAGCTTAGCCTCGAATTTGGGGATCCCTCCGGCTCCGTCTTCCGTTGGTACAAAGAAGCCAAGCCCGGCGGAGCGGAGCCTGAGGGCGGTGGCCCGTCGTCATCGTCTCCCTCCTCGCCCCCTGGTACTTGGACCGAGACGGGTGTACACGAGCGGGTCTACATCCCGTCCAATGCGGACATCGGGCTACGGCTGAAGCTTCATTGCACCCCAGGCAATGGGCAGCGCTTCGGGCCAAGCCGGGAGGTGGAAAGTGGGAGTCCGGTGGAGGCCGGGCCTGGCACCTGCACGTTTGACCACCGGCATCTCTACACCAAGAAGGTAACGGATGACGCTCTCATCCGCACGGTCTCCTACAACATCCTGGCAGACACGTACGCCCAGACTGAGTTCTCGCGGACTGTCCTGTACCCTTACTGTGCCCCCTACGCCCTGGAGCTCGACTACCGCCAGAACCTGATCCAGAAGGAACTCACGGGCTACAACGCCGACCTCATCTGTTTGCAGGAGGTTGACCGCGCGGTGTTTTCTGACAGCTTGGTACCCGCCCTCGAGGCCTTTGGGCTGGGGGGTGTGTTTCGAATTAAGCAGCACGAAGGACTGGCCACTTTTTACCGAAAGTCTAAGTTCAGCCTCCTTAGTCAGCATGACATTTCTTTCCACGAGGCCCTGGAGTCCGATCCACTTCACAAAGAACTGCTGGAGAAACTAGTTTTGTACCCATCTGCCCAGGAGAGAGTGTTCCAGAGATCTTCTGTCCTTCAGGTAAAGTAACTCCTCCGCTTGTCTCTTCACTTTATTTGCCTGTTCCTAGGGCCTGTTTAGAAGGCAGAGGGTGGAGGTAGGTTAACACTGAGATGAAACTACCATGATTTTATTGAAAAGTGTTTTGCTCCTTGGGAGCAGCAGTTAGCGTCATGGCTATGTCGCTGGACTTCCACGTAGTCGACCGTGGTTCGAGACCCGGACCCGGTGGCTAAAAACTCACGCCGGGCGCGTGTGCATGCGTGCCCAAGATCCCAAGAGGAGAACGGAGGAGAAGGGACTGCGGCGTGGCCATCTCCCCTGGGGGATGATTTCTCGCTTTCTGTCTCTCTGTCTGTCTCTGTCTGTCTGGCGAGTGCACGCGCCCTATAGCAAAAACCTCTCAAAAAAAAAGTCAAGGTGTTTTGCTTCTTTATCTTCAGCAGCAAGTTTAGTTCTCACTCACTTGGCAAATATTTATTGAGCATCTCTGGTGTGCCTAGCATATTGCAGGATGCCTTGAAAAGGGCAAACAGGGACTGTTGGTGCTTGCAGTAGCAAGAGACACACATGTTAAATACAAGAGTCATCATAAATATGTTTACTACTGCTCACTGCACGGTCGCGTTTTAAAGTGTTCAAGTGCCTGGTGTGTTTTTATGAATTGCCCCATAAATACTAAATAGTTTTCTTCCCCACTGTTCTGTTTAATCTTTACTGTAATTCTGCCATTCCCATTTTATAGTTGTTACTCTTCCTGTTTTGTAGTTGAGGAAGTGATCAATGTACCCAAGTTCACTTAATATGCTTATCACCGGGCAGGGTGTTACCTGCTACTTAGCTTAAAGTGGTCTTCATCATAAAAACATGTATTTCATGTGTTTGTTCAAAATTTTTAAGTAAATGATTTTGTACATATAAGAGTAATGATTATTTCTTTGGGCACTCTGTATATTTTATGCACGTCTAAATAAGCGCATTTACAGATCTTAAAAAAAAAGATTTTTTTATTTAATTTTTTTTTTTCAATTTGACTGGGGGTGGGAGAGGGGGCAGATAGAGAGAGAGAGAGAGAGAGAGGCGAAAAAGCGAGAACGCAATCCGCCAGGTCCAGGACTTGAACCACAGTTGGCCATGTGGGAATCCAGTGCCTTTAATCACACCACCACCTGTTGCTGGCCCCAATAAGTGCATTTAATTGAATCCATACAGTAGCTCCCCATGAGGTAGCTGATATTAGAAAAGTGTTGGGAACTAGCAGTTAGCGTAATAGCTATGTTACTGGACTCCCATGTAGTCGACCAGGGTTTGTGTCCCGGACCCGGTGGCTTAAAGCTCACGCTGGGCATGTGTGCGTACGTGCCCAAGATCCCGAGAGGAGAATGGAGGAGAAGGGATTGTGGCATGACCATCCCCCCTGGGGGGTGATTTCTCGCTTTCTGTCTCTCTCTGTCTGGCGAGCGCACGCGCCCTGTAGCAAAAACCTCTCCAAAAAACAAAACAAAAACCCACAAACAAACAAAAAACAAAGAGAAAAGTGTCTCTTGGGGCCAGCAGATGACATGGTGACACTGAGCTACGTGGCCAACCACAGTTCAAGTCCTGGACCTGGCAGCTTGCTTTCTCATTTTCTCTCTCTCCCTCATCTCTTCCTGGTACATGCATATGCCTTATAGCAAATTAAAATAACATTAATTATAAGTTTTTGTTTAAAGAAAGGGGGGGGCTCTCCAGGTCACACTGCTATTGTGTGGATCACAGACTGCTTACCTATGTGCGCTGGAACCTTAAAGGGGTTAAACAGTTGGAACAAGCTTGGGAGAAGGATATAAGTATTCAGGTAGTACAGATCTAAGGTCTGTAGCTTCCCTGTTGTTATGGACAAAAAAAGCAAGTTATTCTATTTAGGGGTGAATGACCCCCTAATAACTTAGAAATACAGTGGAAGAGTATGGAGGGACATATAAATGAAACTGCACAGTTTATAATCATGAGTTAGCATTGTGCTGTATATGTTCCACTGTCGTTAAAACATCACACTGGGGACCACTAGGTGGCGTAGTGGTTTAGGTCCTGGAGTACCACAGGGCAGATAGAGTCCTGTGCCCAATGACTTGAAACAGGGTGTATGCACACGTTTGTGTGTAAGAGTAGACCCTAAATCCCAGGAGAATGGAGGAGAAGGAATTGCAGAATGGCCATCCCCATGGAGAGGGATTTCTCACTTTGTCTTCCTCCAAGTCTGTCTGTCTTTCTGGTGAGTGTACCCACTGTATAGCAGAAGTCTCTCCTGACTTCCCCCACAAAAACACGTTACACTGAATTATATTCATGTATATTCCTGAAACCTATTATAGAAATCAGAATTCGGGGCCAGCATGTGGTAGGTATAGAGGTTAAGGCTCTGGGCTCCACATGGTCGACAGCAGATCCGCAGATCAAGTCCCAGACCTAACAGCTTCCTTTCTCGTTTTCCCTCTCCCTGTCTCTCTCAGGTAAGTGCATGTGCCCTATAGCAAATAATAAGTAAAATAAAATCTTTTAAAAAAAAAAATTTAATTGTACTTATTATTTTTTTAAATTTGCTATGGGCACACATGCTCACCAGAAAGAGAAAGTAAGAAAGCAAGCCGTCAGGTTTGGCGCTTGATTTGTAGTCAGCCATGTGGGAGTGCCCTTTCACCACCACACCACCTTCTGGCCCATAAATAAAAATCTTAAAAAAAAAAAAATCAAATTTCACAGTTACCATCTTAGTTCATCAAGGGAGGGACAGGTAATAAAATGTTCATCAAATGGTCTTAAATACAAAAACATTCAGAGATTGGGGCTGGCAGGTGGCGTGGTGTTTAAGGATGCTGGATGCCCACATGGCTGACTGTGGTTCGAGTCCCAGACCTGACTGCTTGCTTTCTCACTTTTCTCCTCTCTCTCTTGCTCTGTCCCTCTCTGATCAAACTCAAACAAACAAACAAGCAAATAAATAAATAATTATTTAAAAGTAAACAAGCTCAGGGCCCGGCCCATGGCCTAGTAGTTAAGGGAGCCAGATACCCTGACCAGTTCAAATCTTAGCCCAACAGCTTGGAAAACATGCTGGGGCCGGGGGTGGGGGGGTGGTGGTGGAAAAAATCATAAAAGGAATGAGGAAGGAAGGAGAAATTACTCTATCATGACCACTCCCCACTGCAAAGTGCTTTCTCTTCTGGCAAATACACACATCCTCTAGCAATTAAAAAATAAATATTTAGAAGATTGGCCCATACTAACTGAACTCTTGGCACTTTACCTTTATTTTAGGTTTCAGTTCTTCAGTGTACAAAGGATTCTTCGAAAAAGATATGTGTTGCCAATACCCATCTTTACTGGCATCCGAAAGGTAGGTTTTACTTGGTTTCACAAGTGACTTAAATATGGTGACTTTGAAGGATGCTTAAGCTGTTTTATATGAATGTGCATTTTTTCTTAAGATTTACTTAACTTCATTTATTATAATTATTTTTTAATTTGATACAGGGAACATGCACTCATCAGAGAGAGAGAGAAAAAAAAAAAAAAAGAGAGAGAGGGAAAGTGAGAAAGCAAGCCACTAGGTCCAGGATTCGAATCTCAGTCGGCTATATGGGAGTCAGTGCCTTAACCACCATACCACCTGCTGGCCCTGCAAATGTATTGTTTTTCCCAAAAGTCCCCCTTGTACAAAAGGTTTGAAGGTTTTTTTTTTTTTTTTTTTTTTTAACACGTAAACTTTTAAAAGTGCTGGGGCCAGCAGGTTACGTGGTGGTTAGGGGCGCTGGAATCTCACATGGCCAACTACGGTTCAAGTCCCGAACCTGGCAGCTTGTTTCAAATTTAAAAAAAAAAAAAAAAAAATTTTTAAAAAAAAAAAAAAAAGACTGCTTACATTATTGGGGGACCAACAGGTAGCATAGTGGTTAAAGGTGCTGGATTCTCACATGGCCGACCACAGTTCAAGTCCTGGACCTGGTGGTTTGCTATTCACTTTCCCTTTCTCTTTCTTTCTGTTCAAATTTTAAAAATAATCATAACAAATGGAATTAAA